AGGGGAGGAAGGCAAGAAATTATCGAGGTGTACCTGGGTAATAAGGGCTTGTGATCTGTTCCTGGAAACATTTCTCTTAATAGCAAAGAAGACTTCTCTGTAGAAGCCCATTATTTTGATGCTCCTGGAACAGTCTGGGAGGGAACACTTTTGAGCCCATACCATAGTATGAACAATATGGGCAAAATTGAACTATTTCTCCTTCATATTTCTCTAATAATGGCACTTGTGAAGGGTCTGATGTTTTACTGCATTTTCAACAGTTTCAACCATGAAAGTTTGATCTATGCAGTTTTGTCCAGCTCTTGCTGATGAAGGCTGATATTTCAGTTGATGTCTCTGTTAAATAGGTTCAGATGAATTTGCATTGGAACACTTTCTGGTTTGCCGATTAGAATAATTAGGCAAACTTTCATTTCCACTCTTAGTGCAGGATATCTTTCTCTTTGGATACTGGCTGGCTCCAATCCTTCATTTCCCTTCTGATGTAGGTCACTGATCTCACCTCTAAAGCCTATTTCCCCTTTCTATCTATAGCAGCAGCTCCAATTGCGCAGCCACAGAGCTATCCAGAGGGAAGGCAGGATTAGTCCTGCTCATAGTTGTCTCAGTGTGGTGCAGGTCATGGCAGTTGCTGCTCCCATGTTACCATTCCTGGTGAGCAGCTGCTGGCAGCAAAGGGATATCTGTATCTGGAGATATATTGAAAGAAAGATAGAGACATAAAACATATTGATAGAGAATTAAAGCAGACCTAAAGCTAAGAAAATTAATTTGGTCAGGCTTAGGACCTGTGTGGGTCTTCCAGAGGAGACAGTTTCCATCCTATTTCCTGGCAAAGGGAGCCTAAAAACATGTTTTGATTTCACCCAGTCTGACCTCTGTATGAAGAAGACCCATTTTGCCTCTTGCCTCCCTTTTCCAAGTGATGACAGACACGTCAGTGGCTGCTGTTGTACCAGCTACAGGCAGCAAATTCAGACCAGCCAACTGTAGCTATAGATTGTACTGGAGTGCTTGAACAAGGTTTGCTGCAGTGGCTCCTGCAGGTCACACTCTGGAGGTGTGCAATAAATAACTTCCAAACGATGGTTTTATCATCTGTGCAGCTGGATCAGAGCAGGTCTAGGAGTGCTATGGGCCAACCACCGAGCGTCAAACTTTGTGTTAAATATCCTAGGCCATACATTCAGGAAAGGTCTGATAGTAGGTTAGTTTGAAAGGACCGTGCTCCATTTCTAGCTTGGAGTAGTTGTTAATGTTAGTAGCTCAAGAAACAGATTATTTTCCCACCTCATGATCTCTTTTATGTCTCTTTTTTGGTGGCTGTTTTCCCCCTGCTATGTGCAGCTTTCATGAACTTGGAGCTGAACTGGAATTGCTTGCATTGTCACCTATCTTATTTAATTATGCAAATTGCTTTCTATTCTAAGGACAAGTTAATGTAGAAACGGAAAGATTTAGAACTGTTGGGATAAGTGATCACTCTTAATTTTGGGGTTTAACTTAACAATAGCTACTATTTCAAAAGCAGTCCCTGGCTCTGCCCTGTCACCCCTTCATGAAGGCAAAGTACTCAGTCTGAGTCTCCTCTGCCCTCTCCCTTTGGATAGAGATTTGAAGTCCATTAATCAGTGGAAATCATCCATAAGTCAGCTCAGTGGGCTCTGGCCTGAGGCTTCTAGTGCAAGTGGGAAGATGCCATCAAGGAGGAATATCCCTGTCACAGGATTGGGTCTCCTTTTTAAGTCCCACATAACAAAGAAGAAACCAGGCAGAAAGAAAAATGGACATAGACCTCCAGCTCTGTCTAAAGACAGTGCAAACACCATAGACTAGCTTAGTAAAGCAAGCTGTTAAATGGACATTATTCCAGCAGCCTTTTAGCCAACTCTTGAATGAATATTAACTGTTAAATCAATGCATAGACTCACCCAGTACTTGAATTATTGATGTGTAGTTTGCGTGGGTTTAAAGTGTTGGTCTACCCATTGGGCTTTGTTTTCTTTTTTGCAGATTAAAGCAAATGTTTTATTGCTTCAACCCAACTGATTCCTGCCATGTGTAGATAGATGTTTTTCAGGTCATTTGCAGAGATTGAGAGCTTGCCAAGCAAACCATTCTTCTTCCTGATTTCTGTTAATATATTAACACAATAGGAAACTTAAAAAAAAGGCAAACCCAGGTGGAAAAACATTGCACCCTTTTTGGGTGCTGTGTGTGGCAGTAGGAAGCTGTCACTGTAAAACTGAACTTTTCTTCTGTAACATGAGAAAATCTCACTTCTGCTTGATTCAATGGCAGTGTGCTGCACCATTCAATAAGGGTATGGCTATTGTGGCCATTGTAACAGAGCAAGATAGGAGCAGCACCAGGCACAGTGAGTACTGGCAGTGCCTGTATGCAGCTCCTATTAATGCTGGTGGGGGTTTTATGGATGGGTTGAGAGCAGTGCCCTGCCATTAGTGTTTAATTTTTTACAGGTGAATGTGCACCATCTCTGAGTGTAGTTATATGCAAGAAAGATGGGTGAAGATAACAGTTCACCACTGTCAAAGTCCAGGAGTGGCTTTACATATAATGCACCCCCACTCACTTGTGCTTGGTTTTACAGTAACTAGGCTGGCAAACATACTGTATGTGACTTGTCCAAATAGCGTGCTCTAAGTGTTGGAGTGATTCATACCTGGAAAATAATGTCAGCTTTTGAAGGGGTGATGGGGCTGACTTGATCTATGTGCTGGACAGGGGAAGTGCACTGTTACTGATACTTGGCAGTGTTAGGTTAGCAATTGGACTCAATGATCTTAAGGATCTTTTCCAACCTAAATGATTTTGTGACACTGTGCCTGATCTCTGCAAAAGGAAAAAGACAGTTTTTCCTCTGTGCTGGGCATAGCTGCCTGTGTTGGGCTGTGGTCCTGCACAGTGAATCAGGTTGAGGCTCTTAGAATCAGACCTGGCATTTCATGGTTTTTGGGTTTTGTTGGAGTTTGAGGTTCTTTTTTGAGCATGTGACAACACTAGCTGCAAGATTTCAGTGCAAGCCTAGTGAATCCCAACAACTCGAATACCTCCTGTATAACCACTCTCTCCAAGGAATCCTTTGCATTTCCCTCTTCTGTTGCCATCTGCCAGGGAAGCTGCAGGAGAAGATGCTTTAGCCCCATGGTTCCATTTGGGGCCCTATGGAGCCACGGTGGTGAATAGTGCAGAGCTCTGCCTTCACACTGCAGCCTTGCCTTCAGCCTCACTTGAGCTCTATTGATCATCTCCTCATCCTTAATGCATTTTCCTTTAGCACTTCTATTTTTAAGTTGGTTACTTAAAAGGAAAATTTAAGGGACTGGCCGAGGGTGCAGAGAGGAGGGGAGCTGGTTGAAGGGCTGTTAGCACTTGCTCCTAAGTCTGGTCTTCTTCTCACCTTTAAGTTATTTGCATAGTTGGCTTCCAGCACTGGTTGGCACTGAATGAGTCAGGATAATGTCATGGTTGCCCACCAAGCGGTGCCAGCATAAGAGCACAACCTTGCCAACACAAGGCCATTGATTAGTGCAGAGGAACTAGGGCAATCCAATTATAACCACAAATGCTATTGGCTTTCTCAAATTCTTAGTCAAATAACTGCAGGCTCTCTGCCTTATTAAGGTGGTCTGGACTATATCAAGAAGGGAATTCATAGGACTCTAGGTAGTGCAGAGTAAACAGGATTTAATTCTTGAATACTGTATTGCCTATTTACACATAGGACAGAAGGACAGTATTTTTTAGATAGGTAGAAGCTGGCTGGCCCCCTTTGCCTGCCCTTGATACTGGAGAATGTATTTTATATGTCCTTTTTTGGAAATTATTACAAAAATATCCTAAGAGGAAACTACACAGGAAAAATAGCTAAGAAGTTTCCTATCATTTCAATCTTGTTTGAGCATCGAGTATTCCTTTGTTCCCTAATATTATGCTTCCTCTAACCTACTCAGTGGGTCAGATAAGGAAATGTGATATTTTTCACCACCATGACAAAATTAGGCTAAAGCTACAAAGATTGTGAGGGTTGCAGCCTAGAGTCTTAGATGAGTAGTTCAGATCTGGCTTTATATTAAATGCAGAAGCAAATAGTCTCTCATGGATGAATCACACTCAATTAGCTACTTCCTATGATGAACTGATTAAAAATTAAGTGGCATCAAATAAGATTGATTTTGCTCTTACATTTAAATAATGCTATAATTACATACTAATCAGATGGTAAATCTTAATTGTACACGTTCCATATGTTTTATTTGCCTGTTCTCCCTCTTCGCTTTGTCGTCTTTGTATCAGCATGGAGTATATTTTCAGGCTGCTTTCATGTTTGGCCTAATTGAATATCAAAAGCAGTATATGTGAAACTTCCTGAATTCTATTCTTTAGCCAGTGGCAGCTGTGCTATTAGATGACCTTTACCATTCCTGTAGCACAGAATAATAAAGGGAGGGGGGGAATTGAAGCCCAGCCGTGTTATTGTTAGAGACAGAAATAAATCATATATAATTGCTTCGCTATGAAGGCCAAATCCTGCCGTTCTTCATGCCTGAGTTAGAAATACAGGATTTGGACCTTTGTTTCCTGTGGTTTCCTGGCCACCTTGGACGTGCCCAGAATCCTCACACTGTCGCTGCGGTGGCTAATTACCATCATGGGGCTCACGTCGTTTTAAACTGAATGGCAGCCCAGGCTCCATCCCTCCTGCATGGGCAAGGAGACAGCTCTGCTGCAGGGAAGCTTCATGGGAATGTCCACCTTGAAGTGCCATTGACTTCTGTAAGGTTAGTTTAAAGGTTAAGAAAAGCCTTAGATGCTGGATTACATGGTGGCCTTCCACAGAGTGCTTCTGGTTTGGGTACTTGTTTGGAACAAGCCTGCTAACTCTTCATTGAAGTGAAATAGCGATTTTGACATGTGGTATTAACTTTATTCACTCCAAATTGTACTTGATGTTTTTGTCTGCTTTTCAATCATAGATCATGAACACAGTCACAAAAAGAACAAGCGGAAACACTGGAGAAGAGAGTGGGCAGAAAGCAGTATATTATCTGACGTGGAGATGTTGAAGCACAGTCTGGAAGTTAATTCATTTTCTGCAGATAGCAACAAGACTGGGAACATCATTGAAAAGAAGAGCCACAAACGAACAAAGCGGTTTCTCTCCTATCCTCGGTTTGTGGAAGTGATGGTGGTGGCTGACAGCAGGATGGTTGCCTACCATGGAGCTAATCTACAGCACTATGTCTTAACATTAATGTCAATAGTGAGTAATTCAACTAGGAGGAGTACATTTATGCATGGATCATTTTCTAGGCATCACAGAGCACACTTTCTGCTGTGTTCATTTGCAGTGCCATCAGTTTGCCAAGGCCAGGCATGGAGATAGTGCTGGGATTAGAGTAAAGCTTGGAATCACTAGTTGGAGTTGTCTTTCTTCCCAGAACCATCACAGTTCCTACATCTCTCCCTTCCACCTTTCCAAACACCAAGCATTATGAGAAATATCACTGGCCCTTTAGTCCATGTCTTCTTTTTATTTAAGCCCATGTGAAATAGCAACTGAATTTAAAAGGTACTTTGGGAAGTGTGCCTTCCAAGGGACTGATGCTAGCAGGCTACGCAGTTGCCTACCTTCCTTTGCTGTTGCAAGGAGAAGCAGCCTGTGGTCACCTGGATCCTTAGTATAGTGGTGGGATTAGCTTTCCTGGCAGAGAACAAGCATTTTAGTAGCTGCTGGTACTAGGATGCAGTAGTACCATCCCCAGACAGGCAGCTCTATAGATGCAGAGTGACTGGAATAAATATCTGGCATAGTTGTGTCACTGGAGAGATTTTCATCCTGTTTGAAGGTAGAAGTGCAGTGAATATGTGGTCTAAAACTTTCTACATCAAAATGAGGCAGTTGGGAGAATAAGTTGCCTTTGACAGTCTTGATTGGTGGTCATTGTATCTCAGAGCAGAATGATCCTGTAATTTGGTGAAATGTGCACTAAAGCAAAAGGAAATGTTTGGTTTCTGCAATACCAGCAGGTTTGCTTCATTCTGAAATTGTGCTTCTGGCAGGAGGTCTCTCCAAGTAGCATCAGAGCACTGAGTGGGGCAGAAGAGCAGCTCTGGCATAAAACTGTTGCAGAATGGAAAACATGCAATGTATTGTCTTGGTTGGTTTTTTCCTTGAATGTTAACAATAATTCTGAACAATTCTATTTGAATCAGGTGGCTTCTATCTACAAAGATCCAAGCATTGGAAATTTAATTAATATCGTTATTGTGAAATTGGTGGTGATACATAATGAACAGGTAATGGAAGTGATTTTCTTCACCTTCTGTTTGACAGTGGTGTTTGTAGTGGGCATTGCGATGAATAAGTAAATTCCTGCTGTGTGTTTCTTGTTAGGATGGTCCTGCAATATCTTACAATGCCCAGACAACATTAAAAAACTTTTGCCAATGGCAGCAATTGCAGAACCACCCTGAAGGAAGTCACCTTCAACATGATACAGCTGTGCTTGTTACCAGGTATGGTGATTATTCTCATGAAAACTAGAGCCTGTCATATATCAGAGGCCGTGAGCATGTCACATAACCAGCTATGGGAAATTATTAGGTTTGGATGTGGGTGCAGTGACATTTGCAGTTGTGGGAGCAGTGTAACTGTGAGCTGAATTGGGATAGCGTGACCAACATAGCGATAGATGACTGAGAGCTTTGGGACTGTCCAAGTTCTGTCCGTGGGTTCAGCATAGAGTGAAAAGCATTGACTGTGGTAGCGAGTTGGTTTGGACTCTGGATGATGTGGCAAACCAGTATGGGAAGGTCTGTTGGAGGACCAATAATTGTTTTTGGATGTTGGATGTTGTTATTATGCTTGTACCTTAACTTGCTGCTGCATTGAAAATTAATGTGTCAGGTCTGCTCTGCTTTCAGACAGGATATTTGTAGAGCACACGACAAATGTGATACTCTGGGTAAGGAAAACCTTTCCTTTGTCTTTTAATAACTTATTTTGCACTGACAATGTTAGTTGCCTGTGCTGAACTATGGGGTACATTTCCCTGTCATAAACCTCTGTTCTCTCCTAGGTCTGGCAGAGCTGGGCACAGTCTGTGACCCGTACAGGAGCTGTTCAATTAGTGAAGATAACGGACTGAGCACTGCTTTCACTATAGCACATGAACTTGGCCATGTGTATGTTTTATGTAAATACATTTACATTTAAATAGCCCAAGATTTATACTAGCTAGGGCTTGCCAGCCAGGCTAGGACTTGGTACCTGCTGGGCCTGATTATTTGAGAGGAGATAAATACACTTGGGTAGAAGACGCACCACTGAGGAGGATTAAGCTGTGATTCTGAGAGGTGGTGGAGTGCTCCAGAGCCCATCTGAGAGCAGCAGAACCACATTTTGAGGAGCATGAGCGATAGGGTACCCCAAGCAGCACCCAGGCAAGGGAGGAGTGCTAACAGATGTCCCTCATTACTGCATCTTCTCACATCTGCATGCAGATGGCAGTTCCTCAGCCTGTCACAGCTCATCCCACTGCCATTTGTGGTGCTACTGAAGGCAGCCCAGCTGTGTGTGAAAGCATAAATTTACCCAGGGCATCTGGCAGGTAATGGGAATGTATAAGTGAGCCTTATCCCCCTCTTTAACCATTTCATGATGGAAAATCTCATGCTGCTGGACATCCCCAGTGGAGATGCTGTCATTCAAGATTGCACCTCCTCCAGCGGAAACTTGTTTTAACTGATTTTAACTCCTTTTGAGAGTGGTTGGGGGAAAACTCATCTCAGATTACGTAGTCCTTTACCTTTACTCCCCAGCTGCAACTCTTAGCTGACTTAGCTCCAAACCACCTCATGCTTGGTTTGCAGTGGAGGTCTGTAGGTTTGAGATGGTTGAGTACTTGAGAACAGATCTCTCATTGTTTTAAACTCCCTTTTCTTCTTCACGGGGAGCTGGCTGAGATGGTCTATTTTTAACTACAGTAGTATTTGTTTAAATGAGATTTCCTGATGAAAAGTCCCCGAAGGTTTGGTGTTCCCCACACCTAACCTGTGGCTAACTCCTTCCCTAATGCCCCAGATCTGCCGGAGGGGTTAGCAGTGCTCCCGAGCAGGAAACGCCTCTTTGCTCTTTTACAGGGAGCAGAGTGGGAAAGGTGGTTCATTGGAGGTAATCTTAATGGGATATAAACTCCCCAGCCTTCAGACGCAGGATCACACCGGGTCATTTCCCCTTCTCCACTTCAAGCAGCCAAGCGCTTTAAGCCATTCTGTCTCCCCTAGCATATTTGCTGCATTTTCCAATATGTCATGTGCTGCAAGCTTTGCATGGGTTTCTGCTGATATTGATGCTTGGTGGCATTTTGTAAACCTGCTACATAAAGTATAGGAGCCAAGTCTATCCCTGGTGTGACCCTGTTTAGCCAACAGCATGAGGGATCAGCATGGCCCAAGGTATTCAACTGCATTAAAAAACATTTAGCAGGCAATGTAAGGTGCACACAACGGACTTCAGGTGGGCAGTGAGCTCAAGACATTTGTCTCCTTCAGAAACATATTCCCCTGGATCAGCTCTTGGGTCTTTGTCTCAGTTCCAGAGTTCTTTCTATTTTCATGGTGGTGGGACCAAACTCCAGCTTGCCTGCGGGATGCCAACTGTTAGTGAAAAGCTGAAATAGCAACTTACTTCAGTCTCCCTCTGGCTAAATATGTGTGGAGAGCTTACCAGGATGTTCTGTAGCTTTTTGCAGACAAGTGATAGGGCCTGCATTTGAGGAATACTTGTTGACACTTAGGAATATGTGCATATATTCTGCAGTGCCCGTCAGCGGTATATCTAGGAAAAGTTCTTGGGTTTGCTTACTTTTAGTTCACACTGTTGCTATGCTAAATACTTGACATTTGTTACTTAACTGACTCTGCTTTTCACTGCTGTTTTTCTCTTAGATTTAACATGCCACACGATGACAATCATAAGTGCAAAGAAGATGGAGGTAAAAATCAACAGCATGTGATGGCACCAACACTGAACTTCTACACCAACCCCTGGATGTGGTCAAAATGCAGTAGGAAATACATTACTGAGTTTCTGGAGTAAGGCCTTGCATATGCATGAGTTAGGCTGTTTTTACGTGTGCATGCATCCCATGGGGTTCCTTGGTTAATCTGAAGTCCTAGTGTGCAGTGTTTGGAGGAAATCACAGGGATTTGTGTGTGCACACATCCTTCATATAGAGCAGGAATGCAGCCCCGCTGGCCAGTCCCTGCCAGTTCAGCCTCATGATAAGCTGGCAAGGACCGACGTCTCTATGGGGAAGAATGTCTAACCCCATGGATATTGCTTTTAAGGAATGCACGTTCTCCTCAAACCTGAAGAGTGAGTTTTTCAAGCCCTGTGGCCCAGATACAGAGCTGTGTTTTAGGAGGCAGATTGCATCTGCCTTTCTGCTCCAGAGGTCAAGATAAAGCCCTGGCACTAACCCATGGTGGGAACACCATTCCGGGAGCCCACGGGTTAGTTTGATATGCGCAGTGATTACCCATTTTGCTTCGAAGCCTTCCCATGTGTTGTGATGGGGAACAGAACGAGAGCTGTGGTGGCAATTCCAGGAGCTGAGTCCCTTGGGCAGTTCTGCTAATCAGTGATGTTCTCTCTAAATAGTACCAGCGCTTGCTTAGCGACTAAATGCAGGTTGTGCACACTCATATACTTTGCCAGGATAGCTGACTGCAAGGTGGTGGATGGTTGTTGGCACAGCACAGTGGTGGTGGTGATGAATGGCTGATGCACCCTCCTGTGCTTGAGTCTGCAGTAGCTGTTGTAGTGCTTGTTAAATATGGCAAATGTAGTGTGCATCTGCCCTAAGGTTAATTCAGGTAAGCAGCAAGGGGTTCTATTCTCATGGCCTCCTATTTAACACTGTTTATCTGATTCGTGTTGTAGCACTGGCTATGGGGAGTGTTTGCTTGATGAGCCTTCATCAAGAACGTACACGTTGCCTCAGCAGCTTCCAGGGCTGATTTATGATGTCAACAAACAATGTGAGTTAATTTTTGGACCTGGATCTCAAGTGTGCCCGTACATGGTAAGTGGAATTCCACCCTGATATTGCCAGAGCAAATTAAGGCCTCCTGGGGATGGGTGTATCATAGATTCATAGACTCATATGGGTTGGAAAGGACCTTTAAGATCATCAAGTCCAACCTTTACCCCAGGACTGCCAAGTCCATCACTAAACCATGTCACTAAGGGCCACATCTACATGGTTTTTAAGCAATTCCAGGGATGGTGGCTTGGCCACTTCTCTGGGCAGCCCGTTCAATACCTTCACCCTTTTGGTGAAGAACTTTTTCCTAATATCCAGTCTAAAAATGGGAGGTTCACAAGCCATCAAATTACTGTAAAGCTTGTGAGTTAATGATAAATGCTAGGGGGATAATTTCATAAAAGGTCAGATATCTGGTAAGGTACATGGCACATATTTAATACTTCCATCTTTTCAATACCTGAAGCAGATGCAGTGTCGGCGACTTTGGTGTATCAACATCGATGGCGCACACAAGGGATGTCGCACCCAACACACACCCTGGGCTGACGGGACAGAATGTGAGCCTGGAAAGGTCTGTAGTAACTGGTAGTTATAGCCTTGTAGCTGTTTCCTAGGGCATAGGCTAAGCATATCAGTCCAAACCATCCTATCCCACTGATCAGTTGTATGGCAAACAGTTGATTGCAGGGGTGAGAGCCCAAAGCATCTTGTTGAGTTTTACTCCTGGTGTGCATGGGTCAGCTCTACCCCAGGTAATGTGATTAACATCAACTGCTTGGCATAACGTTGTTGAAAGCAGGTATTCCTTCTGGACTGCTTATCTTTTTCAATTAATGCCCTTGAGTGAACTCTTGAGCAAAACCTTTGCAAAGCTTCCCTAGGCTTTTATTAGAAATTTCCTATATGGTGTGAGCAATTAGTAATTTTGTGTAACATAAACTGGCCAACTGATATCATAGCTTGACAATATCAGAGTAAAATATGGATCCTATTGACATTTTCTGCAAGGAACATTTTTGGCAATAATTCATAGAAACTTCCAATTTCCATGTGCAATGTTAGTTTCCAGCTAGCATTGTGGTTTCTAGGATAAGTATTTAGTTTTTATTTTTCCAGATCTGAAGGAAAATAGTTGCGGATTTTGCTTCTTCTTTTATTGAGATACTGAAGCTTTCGGTGAAAAATAACTAGTTTTCATCATTTGTTGAATAGAAGTATTCTCTGTATACTAATAATCTAATATTAAAGTTTAATTAATTAAAATTAATAATCAAATATTAAAATAAGATCTAATAAAAAAACAAGATATTATTCTACAAGCTATAACTTAAAAATTTGCTTTTCAGGCTGTTGATGATCAGTTACAGTTTTCTTTTAGAGTCAACATTTTAATTCATAGTCTTTCGAATGCATGTTTGGGTTTGTTGTTGAGGGATGCGGTTGGAAATCCTATTTGTGTGCTACTCCTTGGAGCCAACTGTGCACCAGTGTTTAAAGTTTTATGTAAAACCCACACTGGTTTGAGACTCAGGATAAAGGGAAGGCAACTGTGGCATCCCTGTGACATGAGACCTTGTGCCTTCAACACCTCCATTGGTGACCTTGTGGTTGCTGGAAGCTCAGAAATAACTTACTTTGTTGAAATTCCAAAATTGGGGTCGCAATTTTGTTCTGACAAACCTGCAGTTACCCTGGGACGTGAGCAGTGATGTGCAAACAACTGCAGTTGGGCAGATTAGCACCTCCTCAGAGTTACCCTGTCATGCAAGAGGCAGTGTCCAGCTGCATGGCTTTTAATAAAGACTGTGTAAGCAAAAACATTTCAGCCCATAAATTTAGACAATTTAACAAGTCTAGACAAATTAGACAAGTGTGACCTGAACTTCTCTGCTGAGAGCAGATGGGCTCTTAAGAAAAGCTAATGCAGGCCACTCCTGTTCAGGCATTTGAATGCATTCTCATAAAAAGGCTTTATGGAGTAATTCTTTTATCTGTGTGTTGGCCTAATTCAAGCTTAAGTTTTGGATCATCATATGGCATCTCCTTAGCGTTTACTTGGGCTTATAAAGTATTGTGGTGTGACTCTCTCCTGGTTATTGGGGTTGTTTAAAGAATGATTAAATAAAAGTATACGAATAGTAATCGTTTCTATCTCCTGCTGTATGGCAGCAGGTAGCATATATGTTATGCATGCATGGAGCTTCACAGCACTTGTCTGCCCCCTGCTAATCTATTCAGTCAAAGTCAGCCCAAGGGTGGGAGCTGGATGTGGTGAATTATCTGGAGCTCCAGTGGCATGACAAAGGGAAGAAAAGTCTGTTGTAGTATCTCCCTTCCCTGCCATTGCTCTCCTGCTCGACTGTGTGTCTAAGTTGTTTTGAATTTGCTCCAGACAAAAATTCTTTCATTCTCTGCTCTGGAAGCTCATAGGAAGGAGAACCCTGGCTGGCTTCATAGCTTGTCTGTTGTAACTCAACAGAAAGTATTTTTAAAACACAAAAGGCATGAAGATTGTGCAGCCAGACTATTCACATTGTGCTTCCAAGAAACACCATTGCATTTCCATAAGATAATCTTGCTGTTTATTTAAAACAGCTGCTCCTTTGGGGTTTTTTCTCCTCCCTGATTTACCATCAACTACAAACTCCTGATTTTTAATCAAATCAAGGGATGAAGGTGGTTTCCTGGTTAATTCTCAACCAGGATGGGAGACATATAGGTCATGTCACGGTCTGTTAGCTGTGCTCATTCACTAGTTAGCTATTCAGTCGTCTTCTCTGGGTCAGTGGTGCCAAGCATGATTGTGGTTATATATTTAGCTGTGAGCATCAACATTGCTGCGAGCTCTCCTCCACTGGGACAGCACTGTTGAATTGGTGTCATCTATTTTGCTACGTTGATGATAGCTGTTGGACCTCTTTGTCCCTATACAGGACTGGCATAGGGGTTCCCAGCCTGCATTTTTTCAGCCCCCTAAATGCCAGAAGTTATGCATCATAAACATTTGTCCTGCAGCAATGAAACAGGCATTTCAGCTTGTTTTGTTCCTGTCCTTTACTGTGGCAGAGATTTTTTAGCCAGTTTCTATTTGGGGACTCATATTTTCAGAGGAAAGCAAATCTAGGGCACATTGCAGCCTTAGAGACTATGCTCATCTCTCAGCAAACGCCACTTTTAGGGCGCAAGCTATGAGTTGCTCATGTGTCCTGCAAATGAATAGGCATTTGCACTTGAGATCAGCTTTCTTCATCAGCAAAGCAATGTGACGAGCTGGCCATCATGAGCAAAAGGTGTTAAATATGCTGCAGAGCCAGTGTCCTATGGGCTGGATGCACAACTTTCAGCATAGCTTGATTTTACTCTCTTTTCCTAGATAGATTTCTCCAAGGTGGTTCATGAGGATGTCTAAAAAAAGGGAGATGAGCTCATGGTGTATCCTGACACAGCCTTGTTCCACTGTTAGTGAAGGAGCTGGAGAAATGCAGTACATGAGTAAATTCAACCCATTCCCATAAAGATCATTAGGTGTTTCCCTGCCTGAACAACCTCTGGTGCAGAGAAATATTACAAGCAAATATTTTAATGATGCACTACTTGTTTTCTTCTTTAAGTCTGTAAATTCTTCTAATCTGTGAGCAATCAGCAATGTTTGGGCTTTCTATAATTGCAGAGATTTAGACATCCACAGGAAGATGATCATACCTCTGGGTTTGATTCTGCTGTAGCAAGCACTGTTCAATAGGAGAGAAGCCCTACTCTCATGGTTTTGGGGACACCTTTCCATCTACTCTTGTGGGGCCAGAAGATCTCTCCTAGATCTCACCTCTCCAGAAGTCTGTGTAGCTGAAATAGCAAACACACCCCAAATGGACACAATTTATGCCATAAAAATGAGGAACAGGGTCTTGCCAGAATAATTTAAGCCAGTTTTCTGAACAAAACAAGAATTATAACTGGAAAACAAAAGTCTAGGCCAGGCCTTGGCAAATCCCATGTTATAGCTGACTGAAGAAAAAAAAAAAACAAAATAAACAACTTTGGATTGAGGAATTCATTTTTCTGTTTTCTTTGCCCTTTGGATTTGGAAGTTTCCTTTCCCGCTTTGTGGGGAAGTTTGAGTTTTCCCTCGTGTTTTATTCCCATTGCCTGTCTCCTCCCCTGACACAGTGCCATTCCTACTGCTCTCCAGGAAATCAGATAAGCAGTGCTGCAAGCGCTGCCGTGCTGTTCAGCACCGGTCAACAGGGAATATTCAGTGGTTACTGTTGTCCTCGGTCTTATTCCCATAAATCACTCCCATGAACTCAGCACCTTGCCTTCACTTCTCCATTTAAGGGTGTAGAGAAACTAAAATATGGAGGGGATAGACAAAAAGTAAAGTTCTGTTATATTTGATTGCAAAATCTTTGCTGCATGATGCATGTGGTTGAGAAAGAAGTAAACCTGAGTCTCGTCACCCAGGCTGGTCACTGTTGGTCGGTTCATAATGCCAAAGTAATGCAATCCCACCCCACCTTTCCCATCTCTTCCCTTCGCACGCAGCACTGCCGGTTTGGGATGTGTGTGCCCAAAGAGCGTGAGACACCAGTGATAGATGGAGCATGGGGGACGTGGAGCCCTTTTGGGACCTGCTCAAGAACCTGTGGTGGTGGCATAAAGACAGCGATACGGGAGTGCAACAGGCCTGAGTAAGTGTATGGAGCTACGGGAAGCACTGGGGGGTAAAGTTGGGAAAAGCAGCTGGGTTGCCCAAATGGGCTGCAAACCCCTTTGATTGCCCCCAGCCCATGTGTGCTTTGCCTGGCATGGACAAGGCATCATAAGACCCAAGGGGCTGCATCAAAAGGAACATGACCAGCAGGTCAAACGTGATCCTGCCCCTCTACGCTGCTCTTGTGAGACCTTACTTGGAATATTGTGTGCAGTTCTGGTGTCCTCAACATAAAAAGGACATGGAACTGTTGGAACAAGTCCAGAGGAGGGCCATGAGGATGATCAGAGGCTGAAGCACTTCCCATTTGAAGACATGCTGAGAAAGTTGGGGCTGTTCAGCCTGGAGAAGGCTGCGTGGAGACCTCACAGCAGCCTTCCAGTATCTGAAGGGGGGCTATAGGGATGCTGGGATGGACTCTTCATTAGGGACTGTAATGATAGGACAAGGGCTAATGGGTTCAAACTTAAACAGGGGAAGTTTAGATTGGATATAAGGAAGAAATTCTTTACTATAAGGGTGGTAAGGCACTGGAATGGGTTGCCCAGGGAAGTTGTGAATTCTCCATCCCTGGCAGTGTTCAAGGCCAGGTTGGATGAAGCCTTGGATGACATAGTTTAGTGTGAGGTGTCCCTGCCCATGGCAGGGGGGTTGGAACTTGATGATCTTAAGGTCCTTTCCAACCCTAACTGTTCTATGATTCTAAGGAGGAGCCAGCCATAGATTTGGTTTATGGGTAAAGTGCACTAAAAAGGGATCCATTCTAAGGAGAAGGAAGAAAAAAGCTAGTATCTGTGTGGGTTTCATGCCTCCTGTTTTCCTGGGGAAGCACAACCAGAGTGCCATTTCCAAAGGTATTTTTGTTTCTCCAGAGTTATGGATCAGAAAAGATGGAGAAGGGAAGGAGCCATGGTTTTATCCATTTTTCACCATTTTGCAGCTGTTTCTACAGGTCACTTTCTACAGTTTTCTACCATTTCACTTCTGCTTTGGCTGGATTTACAGCTTTTGGCTGCTTTTGCAGCTGTTCCTTTATACAGTTATATGTCATCTGCTGTAGACTAGTCAAAACTCAGCAGAAACCTGTGCCCCATTAAAAAGTGGCACTCAGAAATGATTGCCATCAGACTGGAATGCAAAATCCTGCTGCCTTTGAAATGGCAGGGATTTTTGCCATGGGCTTCAGGGAAACAAATGCATGGCCAGCAAAACACTATTAATAGGTTGAGCAACTGTTATGAAAGCACCTTGTTTACATAAATTGTGAACTGTGCTGGTGTTTGTTTAAGTGCCTCTGTTCAGCCCACAAGAGCAAGAAAGGCTGGACTGGTTGCTTTCTAGGGTTTCAGCCATGGAGAGGCGAGTGATCAGTAGAGCTGGTTGGACTGATGGGTTTTAAAACGAATGAGCAGGCTCATTCCTCCTTCTCATCATTGGTGTTGGACAGCTTACTGCGAAGGAAACTGTCATCAATGATGTGCCAGTGACAGTTTCATCACTGCTAATGGGAGAAAGGAGTGCTTGTAGCTGCAGCACCAGTGGTGAAGTGACAGAAGAGACTGGCTCAGCAGAGCTGGGCAAGTGTTGGAGGAGAAGGGCTGAGGTTAAGGGAGTAGGACAGCAGCACATTAAGTAACATGATGCTGAGAAGCACATGAGTGCAAAGGAGTTGTCATCTTGCTGTGCTGAGTCAGCACACACCATATGGTCTTCAGTAGCCATGAAGAGACAAAACTAACATGTTTTTCCACACACAAAACCAGCTATGCTATGCAGATGAACCTTTGGATGCTGTCAGTGAGATGTATCCCTCTCTTCTGGAGAGGCATCTGTTTGGACTGATAGCTTTTTGTGGTAGAAAATCTCCTTTATCCTAAAGGGATTTTGAATTCCATCTTCTCTTACAGCTAGTGTTTTGTAGCTTGGTGTGTCATGAGGCAGATTGCTTTGGCTGGGATTTGCAAAAGCACCTAAATGCACTCAGCACCAAGCTGCCTGTGAGCTCACATGTGGTTATCATTAATAGCAGTCATTTTCCAGGCCCCCTTTTGAGAGCTGTGTAGCTGGCAATGGCCTCTTCTCCAGCCCCTCAAAGAGCCTGTCCTAGCCATGTCCACAGAGCTTTACACCAACTCTGTTGTTTTATCCCTGTAATTTGACATTGTAGCGTGTGCTCCCACCATCTGCGTCCCTGTTATCAAAGGGCTGCTGAGGCAATGCAAGTGATGAGACGCTGCTGGGTACTCACCTGCCTTTCCTGCTTATCAAAGTACTTCACCCATTACACAGTGTTTGTCCTCTATATAGAAGGCAGTAAACCCAGCCCAGAAACCTTGAGTAAGGTCTGAAATAGTGTTCAGTAAGTCTTTTGTATTTAAAGATGATTTAGCTCTTTAAAGTGTTTTCTGTGCACAAGGATCTGGGGAGGGATCTTGCATGCCAGTAAAATACTGTGTTAAACCTGGCATTGAAAATGACACAAAATAAAGCTGCAGCTCTGTAATGTGCTCTGACACCTACGTGGATGAGTATCTTGCAGGGCTGTAGGAAGAGCTGTAAGCCTCTGAAATGGCAGCAGACTGTTGACATACACTGAAGGAATGCATTTGCTAATCAGACCAGACTTTTCCCACCAAGATTGCCCTCTTGGGAATTTGAGGCTGGCTGGTACAGACAAAGCCTGGGGCTGTGGGGCATCACATTAGAGGGTCTGTGGTGCAAGCCCTGGTTTTCAAAGCAAGGCTTAGCTGCAGAATTATGGGGAAAAGGCATATTTCATAAGATATCAATACCGGGAGCCTTGTTTTCAGGAATGGCTTTCTGGGTGGGGGACTGTTGTCTCTGGATACGAGTCGGATCACGTCTGCCTTTTAGTCCATCACAGAAGTATCCACCTGTGCTGAAAGCTGTCTAAGCTCAACACGTAAATACATCTATAAATAACTGTGCTGGCCACTGGCAGCACATGTACCAATTCCCTGTCCCAGTGCTTCCCAGGATACTGTAAAAGAGATCTCAGACTGATGTGTGCATGCTAGAGCTTCACAGATTTTTCTGCAGAGGCACATAGGCAGATGTGCAGATGAGCACAAATGCTCCACAAAATGCTCCAAGGGCATTTTGTGACAGCCTGGGTGTCCCCTACAGAGCTGTTGCCTGTGGGGCTGAGCATGTCCAAAGGATCCCCAAAAGAGTGCTTCTTGATGAGGTGCCTGTACCTGGTGCTTCTGGATAGCTAAGAGTTGGGTGCTGCCTTAAGGTCTGCAGATTAAAATACTCAATATTAGTAATTGCAGATGATGCATTAATCATCATGTTGCCCAGAGAAGCTGTGGCTGCCCCATCCCTGGCAGTGTTCAAGACCAGGTTGGACGGGGCTTGGAGCAACCTGCTCTAGTGGAAGGTGTCCCTGCCCGTGGCAGGGGATTGGAGCTGGGTGGGCTTTAAGGTTCCTTCCAACCAAAACCATTCTATGATAAAAATATTACATAGTGGGAAGTATCTGTATTTCCTCATGACACTGAAAATTGATATTATATGAGGCTGACTTTAATAAGAGGAGATTGAGGGGTGACCTTATTAGTGCATATAAATATATAAAGGGGGAGTGTCACGAGGATGGAGCCAGGCTCTTCTCAGTGGCAAACAATGAAAGGACAAGGGGAAATGGGTATAAATTGGAGCACAAGAGGTTCCACTTAAACCTGAGAAGAAACTTCTTCTCAGTGAGGGTGACGGAACACTGGAACAGGCTGCCCAGGGAGGTTGTGGAATCTCCTTCTTTGGAGACATTCAAAACCCGCCTGGACACGTTCCTGTGTAACCTTATCTAGGTGTTCCTGCTCCGGCAGGGGGATTGGACTAGATGATCTTTTGAGGTCCCTTCCAGTCTTTAACATACTGTGATAATGTGACTTCCTTTGAGGGACAGCTCTTACTCAGACTCTGGGAAAAGCAATTCTGCTTTAAAAACACCCTAAAGCTCTCAGGTACTTTGGGGCTGGTTTGCAGTGTGAGCAGTGTGAGTGTGCTTCAACCCCAGACACTGGCTGTGGGGAGATTTACTGCCACAGTTGGGAAGCAGACAGTTTGCAATATGATGGCAATATTTAGCATCGTTCGGTTTGTGGTGTGTCCCTGTGTTCAGTGTTATCTCAATCCTATGGGCCATGTAGAGAAAAGGTAACTATAAGGTAGCTTGGAATCTTTGGATTTTGTTAGACTTACCCTTTAAAAAGCTCTTGTATATTCTTCTTAACTAACTTACTATTTAAAAGTTTCATTTTTATTAACTTGATCTATGTTGGCAGCAATGTGGGTATCATAAAAATGTTGTGATTGCAGCTTTTTTAATGAAATGCCCTGCCAGAAATTTGTGTATTTTAAAGCATGCAATAGTCCTGGGCTGTGCTTTAGGACAAAACCTACCCCTCTGCATTTAGGGTAGGATTTGAAGGATCTGCACCATGGCAGTGTGTTAGTGAGGAGAGGATGCTGGCAGGAAGAATCCCATTTGTGTAGCAGGTGATGCTCTGCATCTCACCCCCAGCTGCCAGGACCAAAGAGTGGTTTGGGTTGGAAGGGACATTAAAGATCTAGTTCTAACTAGTTGTAGGTTTAGTGGCTATTTTGCAGCAGAGGCTGGAGCTGAGCCAGATGTTGTCCTGAGCTTCGAGGGCCACTCTCTGCCTCTGTATATGTCCCCCACAGTTAGGGCCCAGTGGCTTGGGATGCTTGGGATGCTTTTGCTCTCCATTGACTCCTCTGAAACTGTCTTCTAAAGGGTGAGGGTCTCACATCAGCAGGTGGAGACTTTCCCATGCCAATGGCTGAGGTGCATCTTAACTTCATCTCCCTTGAGTGCATGTTGTATTGGGTATAATTTTTCCTTTCTGGACAATTACATCTTTGCCCAAGCTGACCCTGGCAACATGTCATCCGGATGGCAGTATCTTTCCTTCTGTATCATAATGGGAAAAGCAAAGCTGCCTGGGTGGTGCTGCATATTGATGGAGGCAGCTTGTAGAAGCCTTCAGCATGCCCTCCCAATGTCATTTAAAGTTTCAGGAGAGAGCAGTAGAGATGGTGAGGGAGTTTTGGAACATTTAAAGCATGGTGCATCCTTTTTTATCTTATTATTGCAATTCATTATATACATAGAAGGCTGCACTTAGTCCGAACATATAAAATGTCCTTTGAACAGACAGTAAATAGCTTTTATCCCAAGAGTACTTTTCTTGAAGTGAGGTGAAAGGAGCTAGAGGTGAAAATGGGTCCTCATCAGAAAAGTGCCTTCTGCTGAGCAACTCTGATGCCATCCACATGCAGCTCACTCCCGCACTGCTGACAGGGGCTGGAGTGGGAGAGGCTTTTTCAGTCCCTGAAGTGAGCTGTTATCTGGTAAAGGCTCCATCTACATATGAGGACAAAAATAGCTTTATGACTACAGCCCTGAATCTGGGAGTTGCGAAATTCAAAGCCTCTTCTCCTTTCTGCTGTAGTGTGTAGTTATTTGCAACCCACTAGATCAGGCAAACCCTCAGCCATCAAATTCATAGGATCAGCGGGATTGTGGGGGAATGATCCCATACAGGATCCCTCAGTGTGAAACTACATCCTCAGATGGGGAGGAAGATGTTGCCCTTCCTCTTCAGCTTCTCTCACTATCACTTTTTTTGCCAGAGAGCAATTATTCCCGTTTTCATCCCCTTTTAGCATTGCATATATGGTCTTTTTTATTAGGCACCTGCCTAATCTTTCCTGTTTGTCAGTCTGGGATATTAAAGGCATGCACAGGGACAGAGCCCAGAATGGTGTCACAAATCCTGACTGTCCTGAATAGGTTGCAGAATTGGAGATTGCATCTTATTTCCAGCCTGATTTTGTTTCTGTAGGCCTAAAAACGGTGGGAAATACTGCGTGGGGCGCCGCATGAAGTTTAAATCCTGCAACACCGAACCATGCTCAAAGCTGAAGAAGGATTTCCGGGATGAACAGTGTGCTGACTTTGATGGGAAGCACTTTAACATCAACGGGCTGCCCACGAACGTGCGCTGGGTTCCCAAATACAGCGGCAGTAAGTGACAGGGGTGATGCAAATCCTGCCTCCTGGATTGCAGCATCGGAGTGATGGTGTTTGGATAACGTGCTTCTGGTTTTCCTCTCTCCTGTCCCCAGTCCTAATGAAGGATCGGTGCAAGCTCTTCTGCCGAGTGGCAGGAAATACAGCTTATTACCAGCTGCGGGATCGAGTTATTGATGGGACGCCCTGCGGCCCTGACACCAATGATATCTGTGTACAGGGCCTTTGCCGGGTAAGTATTTTTCCTCCTCTTCAGCAAAGGGTGATTGCAGCTTTGCACATCAGGCTGGTGCTTCTGCACCTTGCTCTACCCAGTTGTTGGCATGCCCCTTTCGTTTAGGTTGTAAAGACCTTTAGGACTGAGTCCAACTGTAACCTAACACTGCCAAGTTCACCATTAAACCGTGTCCCCAAGTGCCACATCTATGCATCTTTTAAATACCTCCAGGCATGGTGCCTCCACCACTGCCCTGGGCAGCCTGCTCCAATGCTTGACAACCTAATATCCAGTCTAAACCTCTCCTGGCACAATTTGAGGCCATTTCCTCTTGTCCTATAACTTGTTATTTGGAGAAGAGACCAAGTCCCACCTGACTCCATCCTCCTTTCAGGTAGCAGTAGAGAGCAATAAGCTCCCCCTGAGCCTCCTTTTCTCCAGACTAAACAACCCCGGTTCCCTGAGCTCCTCTCCACAGACTTGTTCTCCAGACCCTTCACCAGCTTCGTTGCTCTTCTTTGGACACACTCAAGTGGAGGAAGTTTGTACATCTGCCCTAAGTTATTGAGGGCTGTGGAGGTCTAAGCCTGAATCCAAACGATGCTTCCTTCTATGCCATGCCCTGGTTCTTCCCAGTCAGACCCCAAAGCACTTTACATTTCCATTCACAGTTATTTTTCACACTTTTCTCTATGGAAACAATTGATGGAGGAAGTTTTCTTTAGTGAAGGCATTGCCTGGTGCAAATGGCAGCTCTGATTCTTGCTTTGTAAGGAAGCCTTTTGTTTGGAAATGGTGTGGGATGGCCACACTGTAATTCAGCAGAAAAATGTGGGGAAGCAAAACGATTTGTCTCACAGCAGCCTTTTGCATACACAGCTTTTGTGTGCCTTAATTGGGAGGTTTGTAAATGCTGTTCTAGTCTGTATTTGCTCAATCTAGTTTTTTCAATGTCTCTCTTAAAGCAAGCTGGATGCGATCATGTGCTGAATTCAAAAGCGAGAAGAGATAAATGTGGTGTTTGTGGTGGGGATAATTCTTCATGCAAAACTGTTGCAGGCACATTTAACACGGTGCATTATGGTAAGAATCTGTTGCTAACAACTTTATAGTGAAAAATGCGAGTCTATAAAAGCCATTACCACACTTAATCTACAAAAAATACTGATGTCAAATGCAAAACCCTTCTAGCTATAGTATATTCTATTTTATAACTATTTATGCTATCCCTAAAGGAAAAGTATCAGCTTGTGTAATGTGGGGTAATTTTGCTCATTTCCCTTCCCCCTGTAAAAATCAAATGAAAGTCTGTGTAACAGCCTTGGCTTTTTGTTAAATCTTTTCTAGGCTATAATGTTGTGGTCCGCATCCCAGCTGGTGCAACCAATATTGATGTGCATCAGCACAGTTACTCAGGGAAGCCAGAGGATGACAACTACCTGGGTGAGTTGCAGTCCTTGTTTCGGTCCAGAAATCTGCTTTATTATCTGGTTGCGGCGATACATCTCCTGGTGACCTCTGCAAGAGAGGGTGAAGAATTCATTTAAAGGAGATGTTTTCTTATTGAGAATTTCTCATATGTCTACCAAGCACTCAGCCTTGTCTTGTTCCTTCTTTTTGTGCATGCCATCCTTGATGGAAAGTTTGGGAGGTTCACATTAGAAGAAATATCCCATTATAGCATCTCTGGAACTGGAAGGACTATTGAGCCTGGGTGTGGGTGGCAGCTGAGGCAGAAAGCTGGGACCTAAACAGACTTCCAGGTTCTGCTGGAGCCTCCTCACCACAACTTAACCCCTCTTTGCTTTCACTGTGCTTTGGCTTGAGACTAAATATGGCATACCCTGAAAGACATGAGTACAAACAAATTCAAAGAGGAAATTGTTTGCTATTTGTCTAAGAATAATCATTCTGATTTCACTTAAATTGAGCTCTTCTTTTCCCTGCCTGACAGCAATCCATAAATGTAAAGAAACACCCTGCACCAAAGATATTGGCTTGATTTAAACCCAACAAATAACTTGGCTTTTGGCTGTTAGATGTTGGTAGTCACTGTTACCTCTGTGTATGTCTGTAGAGGCAGATGAAAATGCTTGGAGGGCTGTGTTAGACCAATCTGCAGCACACACATATGGCTTAGACCAAGTGCTCACTGTAAATGGGGATGTTAAAAATGGGACTAGGTTGATGGTTTCTAGCCCATTGAAGGTAAAGGAACTCACTTGAAAAACAGCTAGGGGACACTACTGTGCATCAAAGAGAAACAGTGCTTACAGCTTTGGCTGTCTGAAACACCATCCATGTGGCTGGACCCTTCATTCATTCCAAAAGCTGAGTGGATCCTCTGTGTCCTCATTCCCAGACTGGGGTCATAGAATTGCATACTGGTTTGCAAGGGACCTTAAAGCTCATCCAGTTCCAGCCCCCTGCCACAGGCAGGGACACCTTCCACTAGAGCAGGTCACTTGCACGCTCATAGCCTCACTGCATCATTCTGAACATTCACAGCAATGAGAGATGGTGCAGGATGAATGCACATCAGTACCAAGAAAACCTTACCAAGGTGTGATAGTTTTCCATGATTTTATTCCTGTTGTCTAGAAAAAGCATTCCTCCCCGTGTTGTGCCGATTCCAACTTGTTCACCCCAGAAGGAGCCCCAGAGAACTTTTCAGTTCTTCTTGGAGGGCCTTTAATCTTCTTGGGAAGCAATGAAGTCAAATCTTCTTTAATGTTGCTTTAATATTGCTGGGAAACCATCTCTTCGTATTAGGCCTGACTAGAAGCAAATGAGAAGTGTGCATGTGTTCACTTATTTTGAAGCTCACTGAGTGTGAAATCTTGGGCCCAGAGTACTGAGAACCTTGTAGTTGCTTAACAATTTAGGAGGAATTTGATGTTGTCATCAAGTCTAAGACGTGTACCTACTGTTGTAGGAGATACAGTAAACGGGAAGGAATCCTTTAATGAGTTTTACTACTGCCTAATGACAGTAGAGCCTCCAAAGCATTGAATTTAGTTGAGTGGAGTGCCTGCTTTATGAGATTTCCTCCATCTATGTCTGTTTGCTACAGAGCACTGTTTTGCTTCATTATCTCCCCTCATTCAGTGTACAACCCTTCCCTTTGGTGTTTTGGTGTTAAGTTTGGATTTTTCAGTACAGAGTCTTTGTAGTAATGTAGCTGTGATGGGTGAAATGGTGGGGAAACTAACTTAGGAAATTAGCTACATAATCGCATTAGTGTGAAGCTGTGCAGCAGACTGCTGTTTTCAGGAAACTGTTCCTTTTATAAAGCATTTAGGCTTTAAGCCTTCGTTGCTTTCACATACCTTAAGATTTGGAATAATAAAAAGTACAGAGGGAGGAGGGAGAGGGGGAGATACTGATCAAACTCCCTATAATTACCTACTAGAAAATGACATTTGGGCAATTAGGGTTACATACATTTACCCTAAGAACACACCTGGAAACAACAGGGAAGCCACCCTATCCACACGGCTAACAAGGCATTTTGGGCAGGATTATTTCTGTGGAATATGAGGGATACAGGCAGTGTGTGCTGTGTACAGCAGCCAGCCCCACATGCCTTTTGAGTATCTCTCTGCCCTGGGTTATCGGTCAACTAGTTAGAAACAACTTCAAGCTTTCAGCCTCAGTTTTAATGAGTCTTTTCAGTGGAAGAAGGACACAATGTCTGTAAGAGCTCTGCTGCTCTGTTTACATCCTTTCTGTCTGAGAGTGCCAGCGGGCTTTTCCTCTCACTCAAATGAAAAGGAGCACTGAGAGCACATGATCCGTGTTATTACGTACGTATGAGTTAATTCTGCCTCTTTAGTTCTTGTTTTTTGCACCTATGCAGCCTTATCTAACAGTCAAGGAGACTTTATATTAAATGGAGACTTTGTCGTCAGTATGTTTAAAAGGGAAATCAAAGTTGGGAATGCTGTGATTGAATACAGCGGATCGGATAATACTATTGAAAGGATTAATTCTACAGATCGGATTGAGCAAGAAATAACGCTTCAGGTGAAGTATATGTTGTGTGTGGAAAAGTCTGCCCAGCATTATGGACTGAAAACAGTGGGCAGCAAAGGCTCTTCATTTATCTGCTTCGTCTTTTTTCCTCTCAGGTTTTATCAGTGGGCAATTTGTACAATCCTGACGTTCGTTACACCTTTAATATCCCCATTGAGGACAAACCTCAGCAGTTTTACTGGAATTCATATGGCCCATGGCAGCCCTGCAGTAAACTCTGCCAAGGTGGGTGCTTGGGAAGGCTGTTTTGTCCTGGATTTGTCTGGTATCTGAGCAGTGATGTCAAATCCCTCTCTGATTTCTTTGAGATTCTCATGTTATGGGTGCGATTGTTTCCCTGTAGTAATAGATAATATTGTACAAGGCCTTGTAGCACTGCTTTGCTGCTTCTTGGTTTCAGACCAGGGCACGTTTACAGCCCCTCTGAGCTATGTGAGCCGGGCAACCTTGTTTGCACTTGAGTAAGATCGAGCACAGGAGAAGTTATGTGGCATTTCCTAAGGCAGAAAAGGGCATCAGGGTCTGTTCTGTGGTCTGACATCCAGTTGTTGCCCCATGCAAGTGCTGACTCTGCTAAACACACAGGCGCCCATCCTTGCCCTTGCGTCATCTTATCTGTGTTAACCCCCTTCTGCTCTTCTTATACTCTTAACCCCCTCCCTGTTTCTGAAAGAGATTTAAACACATAATTAAACATCTCTTAAATGCTGCTATAGAAGGACTAAGAGAAAGAACTGATTTGATTGCTTTCCTGTATGACTCAAACAATGTGCCCTTTATCTGTGTAGGAGAACGAAAGAGGAAACCCGTGTGTACAAGAGAGTCAGATCAGCTCACGGTGTCGGACCAACGATGCGATAGAATTCCCCAGCCTGACCCCATCATGGAGCCTTGTAACACAGAATGTGAATTAAGGTGCACTCATCTGTGTCTATACATATACGTCATACATTTATTGTTGTTTACTCCTCTTCCCTTTTTCCTCTCACCAGAATTCCTTTTCTTACCAGCCTGTATTAGATCTAGAAGAAAAAGAAAAGGATTAGTAGTTGCCTCTTTGTCAGCCAAGAGGGATTGACATCCACCAGCTGTGTTTTGAGAGGCACTTGTCTACATTTTCACGTTTCTCTTGTTGGATTAATCAGTGCTATCTATAAAAAAGAAGAAAGAAAAATCACCTAATATTGAAAAATCTCCCTGTGCCTTGAAATTTGCATCTGCTTGAATCAGAAATGCTCAGCACTATCCTCCAAACAGCCTGCAAAGAAGGAAAAACACTTGCTCAAAGCAAAAGAGTAACTAAGACTTGGATTTATCACCATTTGCTGAAAGCAAAGATTAAGTGTGGAGCAGGTTTGGGGCTGTCCCCAGGCAACTCCTGGAGAGCTGGAATTGATAGAGAATGGCCTAAATCATCACAACCCGTTTTCCTTTAAAAAGCAATCTGTTTTCCTTTCTGGAACTTAAATATGGTGGCATTAAACGACTGCTGGTGAAGGAATTCAGATGGCCGTGTTCCCCAAGGGGTTTCTCTGTCTGTGTTCAAGCCTGGGCTCTCTATAGGGGCTCTACAGGGGCTGTAGTTTGGGTTGTCGAGGTAACAGCTGTTGCCATTGCAACAGGTTGGAAACTTGAGAAGCACAAATGCAGGAGTTTGAAAGCGGGCAGGGATGTGAGGGGTCCCGCTATTCAGGAGCTATTGACTCCAAATCCCCTTGATCTTATTCTTCTCCTGGGTGTGCTGAAGTTTACTCTCTTGGCTTAAGAGCAAGGCTCTTTGCTGGGGAGCAAGGCTATCACACCAGCCCAGGGGTGCCCAGCACCTCCTTTCCCAGGAGCCATCAACTCCTGTGGATTCCATGGTCTCCGGCGTCTCCCTGGATCAGGCCACATATCCAGCATCTCTTGTCGGAGATGATGTGTAGCAGGGGTGAGGCCACCAGCACTATTCCCTGCTGTCCATCACTGGAAGGAGGCAGCAGGGTAGGAATCTGTGTGTCCACGGGGAAAATCTCTGATCCCCACTGACACCTCTGGGGCTGGTGTGTCTTGGAGCAAGTCATTCACTCACGCTTCAAATAGCTGAAACTATTCTACAGACATCCTGCCATGGGAAGTGCCTTTCAAGCCTGTGAAGATTATTTTATGATGGTGTATTATTCAGCTCTTGGTTTTTAGAGGCCAAGGTGGCACCCCTTCAAGGCACATGGGGTGGAAAGCCTTCAAAGCACTGCTCCTTGCTTGGCTACGGACTGCCCAAGGCCACCTTGCATGGTCCCACATGTTTGGTTTGCTGCCTGTGAGAGGGACCTGGTGACAGCTCCTTCTGCAAGGAGCAATGTCAGTATTGATTGCCTTAGAGTTTTGGAAGCCAGAAAACATTGGGAAGTATTACAAAGAGCCAAAACTTCCAGTTCAAGGGTGTATATTCCTTATTCATAGAATTGCAGAGTGGTTTGGGTTGGAAAGGACCTTAAGATTATCCAGTACCAAACCACCTACTATGGGCAGTGACACCTCACACAAGACCATGTCACCCAAGGCTCTGTCCAACCTGGACTTGAGCACTGCCAGAGATGCCCACTTCTTTGGGCAACCCGAGCCTAACCTTATTTGTATCAAACACCCTTTAGCACATTACTTGCAGGGTCCCAGAGCCCCACCACTGATGTTTGCTCTCCTCGGCTCAGGTGGCACATCGCAAGGAGGAGCGAGTGCACGGCCCAGTGTGGGCTGGGGTACCGCACCCTGGAGATCTACTGCTCCAAGTACATCAGGCTGGAGGCGAAGATAGAGAAGGTTGACGACCGGTTCTGCAGCAGCCAGCCCAAGCCCAGCACAAGGGAGAAGTGTACCGGAGACTGTAATGTGGGAGGGTGGCGGTATTCAGCCTGGACTGAGGTAAGAGATGCTCAGTGGTACAGTGAACATGGTCTCTTTCTTGTACAGGGATGTGTCAGGCTGTTTAGTTTGCAAACAGCATTTCTATAAGAGTTGACCGCAGTGATTCTGCTTTCACTGCTTTTCCTGGAGGATGCTGTAGTTGAAATCAGTCTGGTACTCCTTATTTTCCTCAACTTATTTCCCTTATTACTCCTTATTTCCCTCAACTGATTTATGCCTTTAAACATCCCAAGGTCTGCCTTCATTATGTTAAATTCTCTGTCTTAGAATCCCAGACTGATTTGGGTTGGAAGGCACCTTAAAGCTTATCCAGTTCCAACCCTCTGCTATGGGCAGGGGCGCCTTTCACTAGACCAGGTTGCTCCAAGCCCTGTCCAGCCTGGCCTTGGACACTTCTCCCATGAAAGCCAGCACCACTGCCAGGAATGGGCAGGACATATTATCATCAGTAGAGGACTTCTGAAATTTTTATTCTTTATGGCTTTCAGCTTTTCCATAAACAAGGAAATTCCTGAGTGCAGGCCTGGAACCAAGAGAATGATGAGCCTGGGGCTTTTCAGGGAGGGCATAGTGATGAGGGGGTTTTGGCTGGTTAGAGGGAATTAATCTCTCCTAAAATGAGGATGAGCAGCAACCATTTGGGAGAACTGAAAGACAATGCTTGTAAAAGTAATAATGGGGTTATAATCCAGAATGAGTTTGTGAAACTCATTGCCATGAGCTTTTATTAAGCTTAGCAAGATTGACTTTTTAAAGGAATATATAGAGTAACAGCCTGTTACTTAAAGTACAAATTGTTCTTCCACAGCTTTTCTGCACTCTCTTCACAGTCTCGACTGCAAAGGGGGTGAAGGCAATAAACATGCTCTCATCCCATAATAGAGTGGCAGAAAGTATTTACTCAGTGTTTCTCCTTCCCAGTGCTCCAAGAGCTGCGGTGGGGGCACGCGGCGGCGGCGAGCCATGTGTGTGAACACCTACAATGATGTCCTGGATGACAGCAAATGCAGTCAGCAGGAGAAGCTGACAGTGCAGCGATGCAGTGACTTCTTGTGCCCCCAGTGGAAGACTGGCGACTGGTCCGAAGTAGGTGCTGGTCACCAGGGTGGGCTCACGCTGAGGGGATGACGCATGCAAAGAGACATCTCTGTCCCTGCTCATCCATGGTGTTTTGTTGTGCCCCGGGGCATGGTGGCACCGTGCCTCCTGCAGAAGGTCTCCCCAAGCCTGAACACAGGGAGGCTTGAGACATGCAGCAAGGTCACTGCTCAAGTGGCTGTTTCCCTCCCTGAAAAGCTACAGGGGTTAATTCCTCTCCAGTCCTGCAGTAATTTCTACCCAGTTTTTCCATGGTTCGTCCACATATTTGAGAAGAAAAATGCTCCTTTTCCCTTGAGATTGTCCTCATGAGCCCTCTCAGCTCTGGCTTTCACTGGAGGGCAGGATTTTGCCCTACTAATGTTTTGCTCAGCCTTCTGCCTGCTGTTTATTAGCGTTACTTCTTCCACTGCTGCTGGTGTCCTTTGCAATGCAACAAAGCCACATCTTGATAGGCTTTTCTCTGCAGCAGGAGCTGGGATGCTGGTGAGCAGTCTTCAGAGGCTGCTTGTCACCTTTGAGGCCAAATGGTTTTTGGTTCTGTGAATCACATTCTTTAAGAAAATAATTACAGCAATTGAGTGGGAACAGGGACTGTTCTCTGCAAAATATCTCTTCTGGGTCTAGCTGCCATCATCACAAGCACACATTAGCTGAGACCCTTAACATCCACACTCAAACCCCAAACAAGTCTTCTTGCAAGCCTTTGCCTCATGTTGTGCCCCACAGAGCAGCACTGGGGCTTTGCTCCATGTCTCAATGCAGCTGGAAGTCAAGAGCCTTTGTGGTCTTGCTTTGCCTGTGCTGAAAGGTCCCACCCTGGCTGTGCTCTCCATGCTCCACCTCTGTGCTGGACCAGCTCCTGAGAGCAATCCTGTCTTGATAAAAGATACAAGTTTTTCAGTGCACAGGGTCTGTAAGCAGTGATTGCAGCGGGTCTCCAGGGCTAGGGCTGATGCTGAGCTGTTAGCTCATCCCCAGCACCGCTTGAACTTGTGTTCTCCTCCTTGCAGTGCTTGGTGACCTGTGGAAAGGGGCACAAACACCGCCAGACCTGGTGCCAGTTTGGAGAAGATCGATTAAACGACAGATTTTGTGATCCTGAAACAAAGCCGGAGTCAGTGCATACATGCCAACAGCAAGAGTGTGCTTCGTGGCAAGTGGGGCCATGGGGCCAGGTACCACGGGGTTCCCCAGTCCATGGGACCAGGGTGCTGATGGCTGAGGCTGGGTACTATCCCTTCATCCAAAATCAAAGGCATTAACTGCATTAATTGACTTGCACAGCAAAGCAGCCCTCTGTTCGCTTGGGTTCAGCAGATGGGCAGCAGTAACAGTACCTGCCCTTTGTGCTAAATTTAATGTTTGTCATACTAAATTGGCCATGATTGTAAAAAAGAGAGGGTTTCCAAGGTTACACTCTTAAATCCATATTTAGGCATGTAAATACGTGGCCTAATTCTCACAGCAAAGCTGCTCCCTTTGAATAGCTTTTGTTGCTTTTAATGTTTTCCAGTTTCTGGGTTGGTGAGTGGTTTTTTCCCTGTTAGAATACAAGTCGCTCATTTCTCCTGGAGTGTTCTGGCATATCCTTTTCCACAAAGCTGTTAGCTCTTGACTTAAAAACACAGCAACAAACCCAGACCAGTTGTCCCAGTAGGACTGATTTCCCATCAGCAACATTAATCATTAGCTGCTTGTGCTACCATGGGGCTGAACAACCGGTTTTGAAGAAGGATATGATGCAGGTTCTACCAGACTGTGATCTACTGTGTGCAGCAAAATTAATCATTTAAATGCTCGCACCTTCATTCCCAAGGAAGCAAGTGAAGCATGTGAGGCTCTAGTGGGCACAGCGAGTTAAAACTTTGACCTAATTTAAAGCTGAAATGCATGAAGTGGAGGGAAACAAGGAGGGAAGCTGTGTTTTATTTTTGCTGCTTGTACTGCGTGCCTAAACACAGGCTGGGCTGATTAATGCTGTCTGTTGGAAGCAGCTACTCAGACCCAGCACTTCTTTTTCCCATCTGTCCTCTCCCAGTGCACGACAACTTGTGGCCAAGGCTACCAGATGAGAGCAGTGAAGTGTGTTGTGGGCACCTACGTGTCAGTGGTGGATGATAACGAGTGCAATGCTGCAACCAGGCCAACAGATACCCAGGTAAATCTTGCCAACCTCTTTCCATCTTCTGACAGTGTGTGTATGGAGGTACTCCAGCTGCAGTTTCAGGGCTCTGAATGCCAGTCCATGCAGAGGAGTACCTTAGTTTGCTGCGCAACCATTGAAAAGGTGTAGTACAGCACTCTCTTATAGTAGAAATGGGACAGAGAAGCTACATTCAGGGGGTTCCATCCAGACCCTCTCCTAACGTGGTTAACCTTACACTCTGAAACACCAGATTTCCAAAAAGATGACTTGTTGTGAGGGCATCAGGACTTTGCGAGACTTTGCTTATGGCTTGCATCCATGGAGCTCTAGTCATAGGATGGGATGTGTGAGGGGCTGTGCAGAGTCAGAGCTGAAGCTGGTCACTAAAAGCTCATGAGGTAAAGAAGCAGCAGAAGATGTATATGGGAAGAAAACCAGAGACCAGAAGGATAAAATGAGACAGGGCTTACCAGCCTCAGAGGTTGGGGTCTTAACACAGAAGACATCTCCTTTGGCTTGCATTGGGTATGGGATGCCCAGCTGCAGCCTAGGCTCACTTGGCTGTGGGACTTTTGCTGTGTGGTACCAAATGATGGCCAGGGGGCATCATTTCTTGTCTGCTGCATGTGACAGTATAATGTGCCAGCTACAGTTCCAGATACATCCCCTGGGCCAGTTGAATTGAGAGATGTTGCACCCATTGTAAATTTGCTGAAGAGACTTTTCCATGCTATGTTCACTGGTACTTGGAAGCAAACATGTAAATTCCCATTTCAAGCAAAGGATGTGTCCAGGGTGTCTGAAGGAGTTGAATAAAACAGAAAATTACCATCTATCTGTAATCTAGGAGAGTTGTAGTGCTGATGCCATGCCCAGTTTTAGTCCTGTATGACGTATAGAATCATAGAGTCATAGAATGGTTTGAGTTGGAAAGGACCTTAAGGTCATCCAGTTGCAACCCCCTGCCATGGGCAGGGACACCTTCCACTAGACCAGGTTGCTCCAAGCCCTGTCCAGCCTGGACCTGAACACTGACAGGGATGGGGTAGCCACAGCTTCTCCATGCAACCTGTGCCAGCGCCTCAGCACCCTCATAGTAAAGTTTGATTAGGGTCACAACATTTAGTAAAGGGCTGGTTTTGCTATGTCTGGAGATACCATAGTCAAGGGGTAACAAACCCACTTGTTGTCAGCCATCATTTGGCATGCACATCCCCAGTGTAAGTAAAATCACAGCAATGTGGAAATCGTTGATGCCATTTGTCCAGAGCTACTCTCTCTCTCGTGGTGACAATGAGTATTGATTTCCTTTTTGGCAATGACTTACTCGTAGGCTGATGGAGTGAAGTCATGGCTATTCACCATTTCTGTCACCAGACCTCCCTGGAGGCCCAGAGCCCTCCTGTCAGGCACTGTACCAAGGCTGAGCAGAAGGACATGACCACCCCCTAAACCTTGCATGCTTAGTGTGTGGTGAATGTGTGTATGGATATAGGTGGTCTGGTGGGCTGCAGGGAATCAAAGGGTCACAATCAGCTCAGTAGCTTAACCTCTATTAAGTGTGCTGCAGGTCCTGTGCTGAAGGAAGGGAGCTTTGAAGGGAGATAAAGTTGCTGATTTGCAGATGTGTGTTCATACCAGAACCAGAAAGTCTCTTAATGAACTTTCATCTTTTGCTTCAAAAACATCTGGTTTTAATGCATGGAGATGGCACATACTTATGGGGATCCCTTTTGTAGAGTTCCTAATAAGTCAAAAGTCCACTGAGGTTCCCGCATATGAACCCCTGGGGGTACTGATACCAAGTTTTGCTGATTCATCAACAGGACATGAGGGAAAGCCTGCCAACCCGCAAACATGCAGATCACATTTTCAAGACATTGTGTGTTGTTCATAATTACATTGAAGAGGAGGTGGTTTAACTGCAACATCTGCAAGTTCTTCATTTCCCTCTTTTCCCTCATATATTTCATATACAGGACTGTGAAATAGCAGCATGTCCTCCCCATCCAAATAGTCCTGAAGCCAAGAGATCCCTATCAGGCATTCATAGGACGCAGTGGAGATTTGGATCCTGGACACCAGTAAGCATGTGTTTTTAATACTTTCAGCATTATTTTACAGTAGACAATGTGATATTCTTAAGAGCATTTGACCAACTTTTCATTCCAAAGCCCTTGTAACATATATCAGGAAAGTTTCTAGTGGAGTTCTTGTCGTTTTTCCCTAGTGCTCCGCAACCTGTGGGAAGGGTACCCGGATGAGATACGTCAGCTGTCGGGATGACCAGGGCTCTGTGGCCGACGAGTCAGCCTGTTTCCACCTCCCAAAGCCATCAGCCACAGAAATGTGTACTGTGACACCATGCGGGCAGTGGAAAGCCTTGGAGTGGAGCTCTGTAAGCATTGCACTGTCTCTTGCATTAGAGCTTTGTAGTCCTCGTTGCTGGAAATTAATTAATTTCATTAGTGTTTCATTAATGTCACACTTGCCCTTTTATAAGTGGGGAGATTAAAGCTTTCTGCTGTTGCTTATTAGCAATAGCTATCTGATTTTCAAAGATGGAAATGTGACCATGTCTCCTTTTCCCACTGTAACGCAGTGCTCGGTGACTTGTGGTCAAGGTAAGGCAACGCGACAAGTGATCTGCATCGATTACAGTGACCAGCTGGTGGATAGGAGTGAGTGCGATCCAGACGACCTCCCTGCCACAGAGCAAGACTGCTCCATGTCTCCTTGTCATCCAAACAGCCATGACTATGGCAGGCCCATCCACCCTTTCCTCTATCCGGATCATCGCCTGAAAGTGCACCCTGGAGGCAGCCTGAACAGAAACCGTGCACATATACCAGGAGGCAATCAGTGGAGGATTGGTCCCTGGGGTGCTGTAAGTGACCTTGTTTCCTTATTGCTGAGGTTTTGTGTTTTTTTTTTTCCCCTGGGCTATTCCATGTTTTTCTTAAAGTCAGCACACAGGGAAGAGAGAGGCCTTTCTCCCTGGTGTCTGCTCTCTGCTCACACAAGCGTTGCAGTAGGGCACAAAGCATTGCTTCTCACACTTTGTATCTCCAAGATTCACTAGTCAGAAAGCTAATGGCATCATTTTCCATGAGGCAAAGGCCAGCCTCTGCTTCTTGGCCATATCCTGGGACATATACAGCTGCGCAGAGCTGTTGCCAAAGCACAGCAGAGCCTAAATGCCAGTTCCTCTCACCCCAGCCAGTCACAACACTTTATCATGGAAGTCCCTGAAGGGAATTAAACACAAATGGGGTGTCAAACACTGCATTAAAGGCAGTAGAGATTACTCACCTGCTTAAAACCAGGCTTGTGTTTATTTTCTTTGCTTAGTCAGCACCTAAGTCATTGCACTGCTATTAGTAATAGCAGGGTTTTGAAGTTAATAATGCCTGTTAGCTGTATTAGACTTCTAGCGGTGCATTCCCACGGTGCAAGGCACTGGGAAGAAGCTGGGAATGCAAAATTATCCCTGGACTCAACGAAGCCATGGGCAATTGTGTCTTCCAGTGCTCTAGCACGTGTGCTGGGGGGTTCCAGCGGCGGGTCGTGGTGTGCCAGGATGAAAACGGATACACTGCAAATAACTGTGATGAGAAAAACAAACCCGTGGAGCAGAGATCGTGCGAGTCTGGGCCCTGTCCTCAGTGGGCTTATGGCAACTGGGGAGAGGTGAGTGCAGCATTCATCCTGTGCAGGGGATGGCTTTCATTAGGGGTTGGCTGAAAAATGGGAGAAGAGGAGGGATACTGTGGTGATATTTATTAGAAAGGTTGGAGCTTGAAAGGCAGGCTTTGATAAATGAGTGAGCCCCAGCAGCTGCTTGGTGGTGTTTTGCTTTGCATTTGTCATGGGGGAACTTTCTTCCCAGGCAAAAGCGAATTCTGTGAAAAATGAGATCTTCCTTTTAAGAGAAGTTTAACTGAAGGCCTTTTTTTGTAATAAAAACACTGCTTCCTTCTGCAAATTAATTTGAGATGAACTATTAGGATGTTAACCTCCAGTATCGTGTTGGGTCTGGCAGTATCGTTGTGAAGCAGCATGAACAGCTTTGGGAAGAGAGAAGCTGAAGTAGCTGATGCCTGTCTGACGACATGCAGCTTGCGGTGGTGGGGGATTTGGACAGAGTGGGTTGGTTGGGAAAGAAACAACTGCTGAGTCTCAAGAGGTGGTAGTCCTTAGCATGACTGGTCAGCAGCGTTTCTGCTACCCAGGCAGTGATTGCTCTGTCGTTTGCTCCCTTCCAGTGCACAAAGCCATGTGGGGCAGGGACAAGAACACGGCTAGTGGTGTGCCAGCGCCCTAATGGAGAAAGGTTTACAGATCTGAGCTGTGAAATCCTTGACAAGCCACCAGACAGAGAGCAGTGCAATGTGCAGGACTGTCCTAGAGATGCTGCCTGGAGCGCTGGTCCTTGGAGCTCGGTACGACCATAAACTCTTTCTCTTTGTGAACCGTTTTGTGGATATCCTGTAACAACAGATTTAATTTGCTTCAAACCAAGGTGCTAATGCTTCGTGTCTTAAACTGCACTTAAAGAGGATTATTGACAATATAGTCAGAATAACAACTGTTCAGGAAGGGCTTACATTAGGGGAGCTCAAGTCCTTTAATTTGAAAGGCACTTTCTGCTAGGTAGCCACTTTTGTCCGTGTTATTACATTGTTCAAGCGCTGTGCATTATGAGTCTTGGTTCTGATGGAGTTCTTTGCATATGGATTTAAATCTGGCATTTAAGCAGTACATTGCCACTGAAGTTAAATTGTTCTGGTCTTTAATGGTAATACTGCACTGTGCACCTCCTGCTTTACCCAGTTGTGTTTTCTCTACCAAAAGCAAGATGAGAAGGGAAAATCTGGACTAAATTGCATTGACTCCCAAGCATGTACAAGTGTGTAAAGATGTGTGTGTATATCCCTACCTGCCTGCACACACAGCTGTATAGAAGGACATTTGCAGTCACACCTTTACTTTTATATCTTTTCCTGTGTATACATGAGTGTGATGTACTGTGTAAACGCACCTGTAAGCTATCTTGTGCATCCCTGGTTCTGGAGAGCTGTTGTCTGGCCTGATCTCCAGCTTCGGCTTTAGAAATCATTAGATCAGCAAGGTGGCGAAAGGCTTAAAAGCCCTGAGAGTTTTCTAATAACGAAATCGTGTTTAGAGCAGAGGTGTCTTCTGGTGCTCCTTTGCTGATGGAGGAGTCTGCTACAGAGACACTTTTGTGAGGGCAGGAGCAGCCCTGAACGACAAGGCTGGGACGTTGTTGTGGGCCCTGCAGCTTTGAAACGCTCCCTGCCCAGAGCAGCACTTTCTGCTCAGCACAGAGCCCCAGTGTGCATTGGGGTTGAGCCCTGTACAAGGGTGAGTGCTGCTCGGGATGCTCCTGGTGCACTGGAAACAACAGACCTGCCAGTTTTGGAGTGGCCTTCAAACAAATGTCAACCTTTATTGTGTATTTTGTTACAAAAGCATTTGAAGAAGATTTAAAAAAAAAAAAACTTAATCTGACTTAAAAGCACTTTACACTCAAAAAGAAAAAAAAGAAAGAGGCCTCTTTGTAATGTATTGGACTTTTTTAATTGTCATGGTTTGAAAAGTCAACTTACTAAAACGTAACCACGCTGGTTTCTGTGGGTGCCTTCAGTACCACTCCTCAATATCCTCACCATACCTCAATGAGCTATGCAATAGCCATCAAACTGCTGAACTGGCATTTAAACGGTGCTTCAACCAGTACAAGGGACAGAGATCTGAAATACATCATTTGAGGTGCTAATGTATCACTTGTATGCTGATATAGTTGGTGCTAAAAATGAGCGAGGTGAGCTAAACAGAGCTAGCGACCTGTGCAGTGTCTTCCCAGTGGAATTACCAGCTGGAAGTTGCTGCCAACTTTTGTTCCCTGTGCTGGACCATTTGCAAGAACCAAAAGTGTGGACAGAGTTGTGTTGCGTTTTGGTGTTGCTCAGCGTTCAGCCTCTTCACAGCTGTTCAGGAGCAGGCTCCGGGGCTGTGCCCAGTCTTCCCTGTCGGAAATGCAGGGTGCAGTCCTCGTGGTTTGGTTTCTGGTTGTTCTTTTTGTACCTAGGAAAAATCCCTTTGACTTTACTCGTGTTAGCCTTGGTGAATTATCCTTCCTTCGTCTCCTGGGAGAGGGTGGGATGTCAGGCAATCAGAGGGCAGAGACATCCTTCCCTGCCTGCAGCATCTCCTCCCATCTACCCATGGGGCTCCTGCAGGGAAGGGACTGCAGAGTTGAGCCCCATCACTGCCACAAAGTGACTTGATTCAGTCTTATTACCAAGGTGTCCTTTGGCTCTGATGTAGGGGATCCAAGAGCTGTTTGAAAACGGAATTGTACCTATGGGGCCAACAGGGCTCCGTGTCCCTCCTGCAGACGACTCCACATGTATGTCTACCTCGTGCTACTACTGTAGGTAGTAACATCCAAATTTTACTTTCTTTAGTGTGGTATCACCCGGATTTGCTTTAGCTCTGTCATCGGTTGCAAACATCATTCTGTCAGCTGTACATACTTCATCTGTTGGGATGGAGTGTCACTACCATATTTTTTGGTCACTTTTGAAACAAGAGTATAGTATTAGCTGAAACTTTTCAGCAGTATGGATTTATGTATTTATGTAAAAGTGTATTTATTTTTCCAATATTGTTATTTAATTTTATATAAATATTGCATACATTTACGATGTTTAATGTTAATGTTGAACAGTGAAAATTAAAGACAAATAGAATGTAATCATAAATGAATTTGTATAATGATTTCTTGAGTCTTTTGCTAAATTAAGGTCATATACCTAGTTTTGGTAACTTTAACTAAATTTTCTGAAATGCTACTGTGATGTTCCATCCTTTGACTTGTTTTTCTTTCTCTTGCTGTGTTCTCCAACAGAAACTGTCATTTCTAATAATTAAACACAGTTGAAAGTATATAAATTACGAAGTTTGGATAACAAATTTCTTGCAAGCATCACATTGGCTCAGGTTTACTCAAGTTTCAGTGAAATTAGTACTATAAAATACATACAAATTAGAGCAGAGAGAGTCTGAAGAGTCCAACACCCACAGTCCTCAGGTGAAATTCCACTGGGAACTTATACAGTAAAGAAGTGATTTTTATCTAGCTGGTTAAGTCCAGGTTTTAAAGAGATAATTAGGTGAATAAATGGAATTTTGTATGTAAATGATAACTTTATAACAGGAGACTTGTGAGATGCCTTGTCATTGTAATGTGTGTTCAAAGAGGACTAAGAGGAGGTGATACTTTCATTTCCTTGCTTATTTAAGAACATGTATTAAAACACTAGATTATCCCAGCATGTGATAGACCTGATCTTTTTATTAAAATAATGCTTTAGAAAACATGCAGAAACTGTCACCAGGATACAGAGAGTGTTTTTAGCTCCTCTGAACGCCCTATGGTACGAAAGCAGATCTCCATGCCTGCTCTTGAATACCGAGGGACATCTTGCCATGTTCTCCAGAACCCAAAGCTGAACCCATTTCCCTGGGAGCAGATTTGCTCCTTGCGTTAATCCATGTTAGATTCTGAAGTTACCATAATGTCCAACTGTATTCTGATACCATTATGAATAACGTAGAGTTAACATGTTGTGGGCTTCTCATTCCTTTCAAGTTAGAAAATGGGCACAGATAAGGTAAAACAGTTATATCACACAGCACCTTGTCTTGGTTCAGTTGGGTGAGTCATTTGAGCTTCAAAGCACTGGGATGGTAATCATTTGGCTTTGGCTTGTGGAAAATAGGTTGGTGGGGTTTTAAATTGTTTATTTGCTTGCCTGTTTGGGGTTCTTCTCTCAGAAGAGTCTTACAATTTCAAAAGTAATCATCTGCTTTGGCAAGTACTTACCATTCTTGAGTATCAAAAGTTCTAGCTGCTAACGCAATGGTTGTGAAGCTCTTTGTGCCTGCAAAATGGCAGGGTGTGCTTCCCCGCTCTTTATTTATAAGGCAGAGATGCTGCTGTCTTAGTTTTTGAGGGCCTTTCAATCTAACAATGGAGAATAGGAAGCTTGGCATAAAATAATTAGAATAGTATCTGGCTAAGCTCCAAACTCTGTTATTGTCAATGTGAATTCAGGTTTGGATTAGGACAACATTGCTGTATTTAGCTGAAAGCTAGTGGTATTGACAGCTTCACAGGGCTCTTTGGCTGCCTGCAGGGATGTGGGTAGCACTGATGGGGCTTTGGCCTCGGGGGAAACTGCCTGGACCACATCTGTGTCAGGGAGCTGATGCTCAGGAATGTTAATCTTAACATTGGTGTCAGTGGAAAGTTCACGTTATTTGTATTTAGTTCTGTCGAAGCCCCAACACATTGTTTATGAAATGCCTTCCCCATTCCCTGGCTGAAAATAGGCTGTTCAACAGCAATATTCTCCATGTCGTTGTTCTGATAATACTCGTAGCAGGCAGGATGTTGGCTCTTGCTAAGGCAAAAGTGATAACCAGTGGCAGATTTGGTTGCAAGTGTATATAACGCTGCTGTTCTCTTCCTCTCTTCTGCAGAAAACAAATTTGCTGTGACAGCAGCATTACTGAGCTGCTGTATGATTCTTTACACATGTTTTGCAATAACAAAGCCAGCCTTGAAAATGAACTGATAGGCATGCTGAACCCTTCAGCCACTCAGTGATTCACATGGTTTTTCCTGTCCTTCATTCACATGATGATGGCTCTGAGACTTCAACAGCAAGTCTGTATTTCTCTCTAGTGCCAGATATTATCAGAAAGCTAACAAAACCACTCCTACCCCGAGAGCCTGTGGGGGGAAGGATAAATGCAAAGGCTGCATGAATGATCCCAGCACCCATAATGCAGGCAGAGGGAGGCAGTGGGTGACTCACATGCTTTTGAAAAAACATGTAGAAATAGATGCCTTAGTGAAGGTTTAATAAAGCTCATCCAGACCAAAATGAGAACTTGGTAGCCTATGGCTATACCCAGCCATCTGCCTGAAGCTGTCTCTGTCTCAGAGCTGTTTACTGTATGCTCAGGCTGGCTCACCAAGGCTGTTGTCCCTCTTGAGTTGCTGCCTCCTCTCCAGGATCACTCAGACATACTGACTCCAGGGACCGCCTGTTTGGTGTGTTGATGAAAGGCAACACTTTGGTTCCCAGTCAGAAAAAGGCCTTTGACAATGCATCCCTCTTTGCTTTTGTTTACAAAAAGCAAACCAGACCCATTTCAGGCCTTTCCTATGCTCCCTGCTGTGGGACACCCATCCAGAGAATCCCACCACCTGTGCCCAGTTCCACAGCCATTCCAAACATGCACATCCCTCTGCCATAGATGGTAAATCTACCTGTTCACTGCCTTGGCCCTTCTCAGAGCTTGTCCCAGAGGGTAAATGCAGTTGGGGTTTTTGTTCAAAGAGTTT